ACCCCATGACGGACAGACACACACACACCCCATGACGGACAGACACACACACCCCATGACGGACAGACACACACACACCCCATGATGGACAGACAGACACACAAACACACACACCCCATGACGGACAGACACACACCCCATGACACAGACAGACAGACACCATGACACAGACAGACAGACACCATGACACAGACAGACAGACACACACACACACCATACAGACAGACACCATGACACAGACAGACAGACACACACACACACCATACAGACAGACAGACACCATGACACAGACAGACACACACACACACCATACAGACAGACACCATGACACAGACAGACACACACCATACAGACCGACAGACACACACACACACCATACAGACAGACATACACATTACTTATACCTGCCAGGGGGAGGTCTTCTGGGGGCCTTTTACCGCTGGGGAGGTCTTCTGGGGGCATCTGGGGGACATGTGCTGTCGGCCGCTGGGGAGGTCTTCTGGCGGTCGCTGGCAGACTTGTCCTGGCGGCCGCTGGGGGAGCTGCGCGAGCTGCGCTGGCTCTGCCCTCCCGCGCTACTGAATGAGACCGGCGCCGGAATATGACGTCATATTCTGGCGCCAGTCTCATTCAGCTGCGCGCTGGGGAGCAGAGCCAGCGCAGCTCGCGCAGCTACCACAGCGGCCACCAGGACACGTCTGCCAGCGGCCGCCAAAAGACCTCCCCAGCGGCCGACAGCAGACCCAGGTGTCTGCCCGGCCCCAGGTGCCGACGGCCCACCGGGAAATTTCCCGGTATCCCGGTGGGCCAGTCCGGCCCTGCCTCTAATCAATGTTGGAAGGGATGTGGTGAAGTAGGGACTTTCCTCCACTGCTGGTGGACTTGCCCCAAACTAAAACCCCTATGCCAAAGCATCACAACACTAATCTCTGGACTGCCCAACAAACCATGCCCCCTAGGCCTGTGGGCACTTTTACTTTTAAAACCCTTGGACTCTTTCACAATAGCAGAGAGCAAACGAATAGCACACATAGCACTGGCAACACGAAGAGCAATAGCGGAACAATGGTCAACACTAAACATAACCTCACAAACTACCATTGCCAAAAAGATACAAGACAGCGTTAACATGGACAGACTAATGTCTCTGATGACACCCAAAAAGTTCCACAAAACTTGGGACCCATGGCTAACCGGAGAAACAACCCTACCCTGGTAAGAAAACACACCACATATAGAGCCTAGCTTGGGCTTACTTAAAACCCCCATCAAGATGGAAACAACTGGCACAACATGGTCCCCAGCTACACACTCCTTCTCCTTTCACCCCCAACTCCTCCCTCCCACCCTCTACATTACCTAATGGTAATTCTACAATCTAGGATCTGCAGCTAATTTTCAATAAATTTTAACTGAGTAACATTTTGATAAGCTTACATTCTTTCATGAACGAAAACTCTGACCAATTCCTTCTTCTTCTTATGCCTCCTAAATCAGCAACTACATGCTTTTTTACCCCCCACAAACGACCTTACGAAGCTCCCAGCTCTCGCTTCATTGCTGCCAGATTAATCTGCCTCCCCAACTGTTCCTTAAATGCAATTTAACCCTGTTGTTCTGCAATGTATATATATAACATTCCTTTGATGTGTGTTTTATTTCTATATTTCTATATTTTTATAGAGTATGTCAGTTTGTGAGCCTGTACACCAGAGTGCTCATTCAGTTCTACCAAGATATTGTTAGTCACTAAGGATTAAAAAATGTAAAAAACCAACACTCCCATTATTCCGTTGAGTGCACAAGTTGCCATGGTATTTGGAAAAAGCAAGTGAACCACCAAAAGAATGAAATAACAATTATTTTAAGACAAGTAGTGAGTGAAAGGGTATTATTACTCTGTCAATCTCGACTGATTTTACCTTAATTCTTGTGCAGATCTCGGTTTTCATTGTGATCTATGCCTTACTGTAGATATTAACTCTATCCTTCTCAGAGAGTTTTCAAAGCCAATGCTTTTATATGACCTAGTAAATGAATTAATGTATAGACAAAAGGGTAAATTAATCTGTTAATGCGTAGTAAAAAAGCTACAAACCTAATTTCTAACTGAGCAGAATATATAGTTACCAGTCATTTAAAAAAAATGAATAGTGTGTTTGTTGGTCACTGGATAACTTGTATTGTACCTTCCAAGTTAAGAAGAAAATGTAACACATTTTTATAGGTGTACCATGTATCCAGGAATGGCAAAGGGAGGAAGCAAAGGGAGGTGAAATGGGTGCGTGATCCCATCATTCATGCTCGACTGGATGACAAACATCACTTCAGGTTTGTATTCAGGATTGTCCATACACAGGGTGCTAGTATGGGTGGATTGGCCCGGGAAAAGTCTTGCACAAGATGAGGACATTTCGTAATGCCCTCCCAAGGTTTACTGGAAAAAATGCTTGTATGGTGAGACAGGCACCCAAAATTGTCCTACAGGATTCAGGACTGCTATCATGTATGCTACTGCATAAAAATCACTGGGATACATCAAGGCAGAATTATAGAAATGTGGTTACTAATATTCATGTGTGCTCCTGCTTGTAGTTTTCTAGTAACGGTGCGTTTTTGTTTTGATCTGATTGCTGCGTGAACAGATGCTAACATTTTTATTGTTTTACTGTTTGCTGCCTGGTTGACCTTCTGCCGATTAATATTGAATCTGTAGTTTGCACTGACTGTTGACCTGTATAATAACTGTACGTATCTATGCATTCCTGACAATGACTTGTCTGACTGTCTGATTTCATCTCTTGGTCATGATATATACTCACAGGACAACTGGAAAGCCAGGGATCTTTTTGTCTGCTTCCAATAACTCTGCAGATCTCATTGGAAAGCCCAATCGTGTGTGCACAGCACCAGCACAGAGGATGCTCAATGAGGAGACTCTGATTGGTGTATTCCCTGGTAAAAGGAGTGTTTGCAAAGGCTGCAGACAGCAGATCTGCAGCTTTTCTAAGCTATTTTTACATAAACCCCCAAAGAAAACATGCAGATACAAATATATGTATGTTTTCTTTGGGACATAAACAGTGAAAAGATAAAAAAAACAAGTGGTGTCCCTTTAATGGCAACACATGAAAGGTGTCCCCCTGCAACATGTACTATGTATATGCTGTACTTCCTCATTGACCAGTTACTTAAAGGGACATTATAGTCACCAAAACAACTTTGGCTTAATGAAGGTGTTTTTGTGTTTAGATAATGAACCTGCAGTCTCACTTAAATCACTATTGTTTTTGTTCATGCAGCTCTAGCCACACCTCCTTGAAAACAAAATGGTTTCAGTTTCACTTGGATATTAACTTACTTTAGAGATTTTTATCTCCTGCTCTGTAAACTGAACTTCAATTACATACAGGAAGCTTCTGCAGAGCAGTCGATTAAAAATTCTAAATTAAACAGAATCTGCAATAAAGGAAGTGTAAACATTAGTTGACTCTTTACAGGAAGTGTTTAGGAAGGGTGTGTTAGTCATATTTAGGAAGGAGTGACTAGGGCTGAATAAATAAAGTGATTTAACTCATAAATGGCAGAGAATTGAGCAGTGAGACTGAAGGGGCATGTTCTATACACCAAAACTGCTTCATTAAGCTAAAGTTGTTTTGGTGACAATAATGTCCCTTTAACTTACAGCAGGTTCTGAATTCTACATACCACAAGGCAACACTTTTCATGTGCTGCCCACCAATATCTATAAGTGATATTTGTTGTTTGTATTTCACATATTTTGTGTATTTTTGTGTTGTATCATCATGTGTGAATTTATATGTACGAGCATGTGAATTTATGTAGTATATATGTGTACATGCAAGTGTGTATTTGTGAGTGAATTTGTGCTGAAAAGCAACCATCACATGATAAAAGACAGTGTATCTTTAATATTTTGTATCCCCCCGCTTCATTTTTTTTAATGGTGTGAAGGCAAGTTTTTTTATTTTATAGTACATAGAAGAATTTAGTAATTTTAAAGAGAAGAAATGGACAAAATATGGTTTTATAGCAACAATGCCTTACCCTTTGAATATGTATAAATTAGCAAATAAAATAGATTATCCAAGAAAAGGCAAAAATAAAGTTAAAGTACATTACAATGACATAAAGTTGGAGATCCTGATTTCATACGGGTTCATATTTAAAGTGTTAATCACCACTATCATTAAAATTAAACAAATTCTAATCAATGTATATATACACACCCACATGGGGTAACTACAAAAGGTATTTTGGATGCAACATCCTTTAATTGTAGCAATCTGCAAAGCAGTTAGATTAGATTCCTCCTGGTTGTCCTGCATTGGCATCTTACTCATCTTTTTATAAAGCAATCCATATGTTGCCAGATGTTTCTTTATGATATTCATAAACTCAGATTATCTGCCATTTAACCATTTGAATGCCAAATAAACCCAGATAAGTCATGGCAATGCATTGCTCACTATTTGTATTGCTCTTTTTGTTCTTAGTACTTGAAGGGTTAAACAGACATCACAGACGAGCAGGTTAACCACAGTTAGAATTCTAAACTCTTTTTATAGTTTTGATTATGAATACATTAACAATACCAGCCTGTTTGTCCCTAACACTCCATTCCAGACATGTATTAGTTTACAGTTATACCTGTCATCTTCACAGTTAATTCCCATCAGTTCAGTCAAAACAGAGAACCACCACCACCACCTAGCACAATATAAACCATTACAGTGTGTGCCCTTCAACATTTACTGTCTCTGGTTTGTCTGAGAGTCATACTTTCTGCTATTTGTTGCTAGACAGACTGTCTGCAGGTTACAGCAGTGTCTGATCTGTGTAGATTCTCCCTGGGAAGGCTTACATAGCGAGCAATAAGCTTTCTTATATTATATCTGACTCAGCTGCCAGTTAGATACATATTAACCTTCTCTCTGACTGCAAATACAACAGTTAATCATTGGCTTGCTGGCAGCTATGGGGTTGTTATTATTGCACATGATTTTTGTTTTGATAGAATTGCATGCACTCTCAGCAGCAAACAGCTCTCTGTAACCTCCAGGTTTACCATACATTCTCTCCTCACCTCTCATGGTGGAGGCACCACCCATGACTCTCCCTCTGGGAGGCTGGACCCTCTCCTCTTCAAAGCATTAGCAGCCTCCAGCTCCATCACAGACCTGGGGATCTCCTCGGGCTGACTGAGCTTCCAAAACTTCTTCATTTACAGCGAGGAGAAGCAAGGATCCCCAATCCTGGCCACACGTGGACCTTCCTGTCTATCCAGGAGACATCTCGATACCATCGGCTCGGTGGGCACACTGGCTAAACCTGGAATTAATTATTTCCTGCTTCCGATGCCAGATTTAGGGGACTTCTCGGGTTGAGGCTCCAAAAGTTCTTTCTATTTTGCAAGGAAAAGAAAGGAAACGCAGTTTCTACCGTTCGTGGACTTCAGTCCCTGCCGTACAAAAAAATTGATACATTGTTAACTGGTGGGATTGATACATTGTCTGAATGATATAATCTGCGATCACTGTGCACGATCTCCCAGGAGAAGACACCAGTGACCAGAGACTCCAGAGAATAACTGCTCGTTCCCTTACAAACGGTCCCTGGACTAGAATTGGGGCACTCTAGACGCATGAATGAAGATGTTGTCTATATTTGTGAATGAAGATGCCTACAAGAGAAGGTTTATTAAAAGCCACCAGGCTAAGTAATTAATGACTGGTAGGAATGGGCTTTATTTTTGTAACACTGATGGACATTTAAGAGTATATAGATTATCAAATGTTTTAGAATGACACATAATACCAGCAGCACTTATTCTAGAGTAAATGTATATGGGCTTTATTTTTGTAACACTGATGGACATTTAAGAGTATATAGATTATCAAATGTTTTAGAATGACACATAATACCAGCAGCACTTATTCTAGAGTAAATGTATATGATTTGGCTTCAGGTGGAGTAATGTTTGAGAAGAGGACATTAATAACCTATAACTAGTTAAAATACAATGCTAAATTTGGGGGTATAGATTTCGTGGATTTGCAGACTAGCTCCTAGTTTATAAACCTTTACTAGTCTAGAAGTGTGGGAATTAAGGCTAGCAAACCCTGCAGTTAGATGTACATATGGCCAGCAGTTTGTCAGTGCAGGACTAGTTGTGGTAATAGTTGGCCTTTTTTTTTTTTTTTATAAAGTGCAGAAATTCTGTGTAATACTTTGTTGGGTTAGGGAGAGTAGCAGCCCTTACTTTTATTTATACTAGTTTGATAGGTTTTGACAAACTACTTTAGAGGAGGAGAGTTCAGTGGGAGGACAATTTAAATTACATGCATGCCAACCTGTTAGCTGAGCAATATGAACACATTTTAGTTGATAGTAGTTTGTCAGGTCAGTACCAACTGTTGTACATAGCTGGTAAATAGACAATTAGTGTATACAGGTAAGCAAGACTAGCTGCTGTGTGCTGTAGTTTGTTGGGTCGAGACTAGCAGTTACAGGTATAGATGCCTGTTGGGTTAGAAGTTGTGTAAAGGAACTAGGTTAGGAAGGGTAGTTATGTGCTGATATTGAGTAGCTAAAGATAGAATATTAACATTAGCAGTAAGGAGGAAGTTGTGAGGTCCTTAGGCAACTAATATGCTTAAGGTGTCTGGAAAGTCACAGGCAGAGAGCACTGGGACTCAGGAACTACTGGATGCTATGTCCAATGACCAAATGCACCTGGTCCGCTTTATTGTTGATGCTCTGGATGGAAAGATAGTTAACACACGTGGGGGAGAGTTGAGCCGGACGCCACTTATCTGCAGCGCTCTTCTCCCGGAACAGCGGGCCCGACAGCGCTACATGCAGCTCCTCCTGGACAAGGGTGCGGAAGTGAACAGCCGGGACCGAGCAGGTCGCACCGCACTCAGCTATTCCTGTGAGAGAGGACATCTACAGGAGGTGAAACTGCTGGTGCAACGTGGAGCCGACCCAGAGCTGTCTGACTTGTGGGGAAACACTGCCCTCATTTATGCGTCAGTGTCTGGACATGCCACGGTCTTGGACTTCCTAGCCAGAGCATTTAAAAGGCTAGGCTTACAGATTGACCGAGCCAACCGTGTGGGCAATTCCGCTTTGGATGTGGCAAGATACCTTGGACACAGGGACTGTGAGCTTGCGCTGAGTGGGGGTAATTGTGGATATAAAACAGAGGATCGTCACCTCTCTCGAGTCACCTGGAATGAGCTACAGAATGGGTCCCACGGATCTACCCATCATTTGCTTTTGGGAAGGAGTCGTTCACTGGCCTCTCACCGACACATTGATTCAATGGACTCTATAGAGGAGGAAGACGGAGACAAAGGCAGTTGCTCCTCAAGCTCTTCTGGACTTGGGTTTTCCAATGTGCTGAACCCTAGGCCACGTTCCTGGAGTCTTCAGTATGGGGGCCATATTGGGGAGCACAAGGAGCTTGGCCTGCACCTACCAGCACTTAGCAGTGCATCCATCCAAATTTCCACCAGCCTCTATTCTCCACGGCCTGGGAAACAGCATGTACCTGCCCTCACTCCCCTACCGGGACCACTAGGCATTCTATTGACACCACTGTCTGCTAACCCTCATTCTGCCTCTCAAGGAACTGAAGACCAATTTCCTGGGTGTTTAAAAGACCCAAGTCTTCGAAGATTTAATGATACTTATTACCGAAAGAGAAGCAGCCTTCCTTCCACTCTACTGGCTCCAGTGCCACCAGACAGAGAGCTTCTAGGATCACGCACAAAGGACACTACAAGTTGTAAGCCTGCTGCTTCGTCAAGTAACCCGTTTACTGTACTGGGGAACAAGCTATTAAGACGCTTCACATTTCCAGAATTCAAAAAGCAGCAAGCACCAGCTAGAAGCAGTGGAAAGGGCTCTTCTGCCACCAAGGCAACTGGACCTAGAGTGATGGCAAGGTCAGAAACTTTTCCTGTGGGCAAAAACCACCCACAAGTGGTCAGCAAGCCCAGTGTAGACAGCATCAGCAGCGTGAAGTGTGAATTTGATTTCCAGCAGCAGAATAGCTCTTCTTGATCTAATACTCTGCCAAAACAGAACCATTTCTCTGACTCTAAAAAAGAATCCAAAAAAAACTGCCTAAATTCTATTTTATAAGACCCTAAAAAGGTTATCTCATGTCCTGTAGACAAAAAAAAAAAAAACATTTTTGAAAACGAAATCCCTGGAAAAATCTGAAAATGCTTGTTTAAATTCGAATGTATGACAATACATGGAATTATTCAGTATTCTTGGATTTGTGGAGAATTGACAAGGAAACTGAAAATTGTGTGACAAAACTGAGACAGATTTTGATTGGGATCTATCAGTTTTGGCCTACAATCTGCCGTCTCCTTGTAAATGTTCTACAATTCCTGATTCAGTGGGGGAAAAAAAACACAATTTAAAATTAGTAGAATTCATTTTAAATGTGGAGTCACAGCAAAGAAAATATTTTTCATATTTGCTCTTACAACATTTCCTTTTGACTATTTAACTGCCATATTGTTATTTTGGCTGGGACTAAGGGTAATCCAAAGATGCATTTTATTTAGGAAGAATCTAAAATATATATATATTTTTTAATTATATATGCTCCTTATTTTTAGATAACTGACCATACTTGCTCCACTTGTTTTTATTTAAATGCTTATTTAATTGTTTAAATCATTTAAAATCCACTAGAAAACATTCAGAATATAATTCAGCGCTGGGACTAATCCTCCTTGCCTGATCCTTCTCCAGTGAAATCACTAAGGCTGATTACTTTTTTCTAATCAAATGTGTTTAAAAAAAACAACAACATTGAGGATACTCAGTGCACGCCTGGCAATTACAGCAATCCACCAATCCAATTAACATAGTCTACTAATTAATCTATCCATTGGACACACACAGTGTCTGGTGTCCACAAACATCACTGGAAGTCAAAATTAGTAAATAACAGAATCTTGTCCAGTATGGAACCCTGTTTGCTTTTCTGAATGTCACCAGTAGGTGTAGAAATGGCAAAATTGTAAATAGTTCTGTTTATCAGAAATGTCAAGGGAAATGCTGACAGGGGTTGCATCTGTCCGTCTATGTCACTCAATAAGATGCAGATAGTTTGATGCATAGACTGTCCCTTTAATGTAAAAGCCATGCGTTTACCTATCCTTGTACAGTACATCCAAACATGTAAACACACATGTAAATTATCAGACTGTATCTCAGGCTTCTAGAATGGATTTATTTTAGGCATTTTATTTTGATACTATTATATTATTTTAGGCACAATTCTTTCTTAATGACTTATTTGAAGTTGAACGGTTATTCCAGCCACCATGAAACTTTCTGCTTTTAGAAGTGTTTACAGTAGAACGAGTCTGTACATGCAGCCATTTTCCTTGAAACACAGCGCATACAGAGATATTTGCACTTTGTACTGGGAGCTAATTGCAACCTCGGCAATTGTGTCTATTGTCAGCGCACACTGCATGTTGGTGGTAGACATTCTCAGCTTGTCCCCTTGCAGGCAGCCCTGGAGTGTGTCTACAAAAGAAATCTTGATAACACTTCCTCCATGTGCTCCCTCCTTACCTCCCTTCATTTACACTTAGGCTTTTTTGTTTACATTATCCGCTGTCATGTCTATATTTTTACTCCCTCCCCTCGCTGGCTCCGCAAATGCGCTCTGAGCTGGTGGAACGGTGCAATCAAATACCTGTCTATGAGAAACATCTGACTGTACCGCGTGAGGGAGGCAGTGAAAGATGGGGTGTGTTGAATTCTGCATGGGGGTCTTGCTCAGCGCTGGATTTCAGGTACGCCTATTGGTTATTTTTAAAATTATAAGCAATGCCCAATATAGCATTATAAATTAAAAAAAAATAAGGTTGGAGCCACCCATTAAAAAAAACACTATAGCGCTACGAACACAAACATGCATTCCTAACGCCATAGTGTTAAAATACCTTTTGGATTATTGCCCACTCAGCAACTAAAAAGAGTTTTGCTTCCCTTTACTACCCTTGCCGCTGACAAAACACCACACTAGTTGGTAAATCGAGAGCGTGCAATGAAGGTTTGTTAGCAGAATGTGTTTTAGTATATTTTGTGTCATGGTTTTAAACGGGGTCATTTTACAAATCAGAGTTACTGCAGTGTACATTATGCAAGCACCTGTAACAAAGTTTATATATCACTGTGTTAAGGCAACATACGAGTGCACAATATAATACTGTGAAAAAGATTATGGCTAAACGTTGTCAATAAATAAAACGTGGAATATTTTGTTCATTTGAAATTGTTACAGTTGGTTTCTTCCGTATGTTGTTACTATGATACATATGTACAGTATATGTCATTGATAATAACTTGTATGCAACCGATATATTGTACTGACAGAGGATTTACCGTGAGCTATTAGTTTAGGATGATATGTATGTATTACATACATTAAATTATAGATGCAATCCTTGCTCCACCTGTGTTGACTGTTATTTTAGAGCAAAAAAAGATTAAAGGACCACTAAAGTGCCAGGAAAACATACTCGTTTTCCTGGCACTATAGTGCCCTGAGGGTGCCCCCACCCTCAGGGTCCCCCTCCCGCCGGGCTGGATGGAGAGGAAGGGGTTAAACTTACCTCTTTCTCAAGTGCCGGGCGGGGAGCTCTCCTCCCTCTTCTCCTCCTCTTCGGCTGAATGCGCATGCGCGGCAGAAGCCGCTCGCGCGTTCAGCCAGTCCATAGGAAAGCATTGACAATGCTTTCCTATGGACGCTGGCGTTTTCTCACTGTGATTTTCACAGTGAGAAGCACGCAAGCGCCTCTAGCGGCTGTCAATGAGACAGGCACTAGAGGCTGGATTAACCCTAACATAAACATAGCAGTTTCTCTGAAACTGCTATGTTTATATAAAAAGGGGGGGCGGGGGGGTTAATTTAATTCATGATTCTGGATTTTAAGGAACCAAATAGAGTTATTACAGCATAGTAGGACGGTCCATAGTGGAGTGCATTCCTTCACATTATCAGATTCAAATTATCTTCAAATGATAGATTTATTTATCAATTGTAAATGTGAACATAAAAGAGGTTTTTCAGAAATATTTAACTTGTCTTGCCTCCTGAAGTATGGTAAATAGAACAGCTTTTATTTTACTAGTCACTATGGCCGCAGTGATTAAAGCAAGCCTATATTTTAAGGAAATAAAATATTAAGGAAAAATCTCCTTAAATCCTGACAGTAATTTTTGTAATGCTGTTAGTTGGTAAATATGATTAAAGTATTCATATAGTCATATTTCAAGCTGCAAAATCTTGGTGTATCCTATTTATAAATTATATAAATTGTCAGAAGGTTTACATTTTTGCATCTATTTGCCATATGTTTCAAAGAGGTTTATTTTATTATTTTTTTTTTACTTATTAATGATAAATAATCCTAATATTATATTGTATAATGCAGTTAATAAATCAAAAAATATAACAAACAGCATCATTAGATTTGAAGGATTTTATAACGTAAGGTCATCAATACAAATTAACTTTGGAACTTGGTTACAACAGCATTATAAAAAGAAACACATTTACATAAGAATATAAAAAAAATGTTCTACAGCAAACAAATATGCAATGATCAATTTAAAAGGAGAATATCATGTTTTAAATGAATAGGAGTGTGTATAAATACAATAATCAATGCAATTGGTATCACAACCTTTTTTTTTTTTTTTTTTTTTATCAATGCCAATAAGAGAAATACATTTCATCATATGTAAATGATGTAAACTTATGCTACAAGAATATACGTGTAAGTTGCTTTGTTGTCATGTTTCAACCCCTTTAAGATGCAAATGACCATCCAGTTTATACCTGAAAAATCAAAACAATAAAGGCAATATATTTTGTGTTGCAACTGATTTTCTGTATGTTTGGTTTTCATTTTGTTACTTTTCTTAGGTAAACGCTACTATATTATTTATATTTTCTATCTAATTCTATATTTTTCTTTAATTTTAACAGTGGATGTCATGCTTTGGTGTTTTTCTTACTCAAAGTGTTACTCAAATCATCATAACCATTTCAGTGGTGACGGTGCCTGGAGTCTGTACATGCAGCGAATTTCCTTGAAACACAGCGCATACAGAGATATTTGCACTTTGTGCTGGGAGCTAGTTGCAACCTCGGCAATTGTGTCTACTGTCTGCGCACACTGCATGTTGGCGGTAGACATTCTCAGCTTGATAACACTTCCTCCATGTACTCCCTCCCCACCTCCCTGCATTTACACTTAGGATTTTTTGTTTACATTATCCGCTCTCATGTCTATCCTCTTACTCCCTCCCCTCGCTGGCTCCGCAAATGCGCTCTGAGCTGGTGGAACGGTCCAATCAAATACCTGTCTATGAGAAGCATCTGACTGTACCGCGTGAGGGAGGCAGTGAAAGTGTTGAACCCTGCATGGGGGTATTGCTCAGCGCTGGATTTCAGGCACGCCTATTGGTTATTTTTAAAATTATAATGGGAGGGGGCCCTATTAGCAATGCCCAATATGTGCAATATTTCACTATTAAACTCTATTAACTTCTGTGCTGATGGAGGCATCATTAGCCAGCCTACAACAAGAGTCCTGAGTGGTTTATGTAAATTCTGTGCAAAATTGGCATTTGACGCAAGCACACACATTGGCGTACGACAGCCAATGGTAGTGCACCTCCTCCCTCTGTGCCTCCTCTGTCTTCTACTCAGTCTGTCCTCCCTGAAATCCCACCTCCTCTAGCGAGGGAGAGTGGCGTCAGGGGAGGAAAATTCTAGAATGGAGGTCATTTTTAGCAGTTTTTAGGGGAAGGGGGAGAGGGGCTGGGCCCAAAAAGGGAGGGTTACTGTGATAGAAATTTATTTTTTTCTTGGAGTAACTCTATAAACAGCTATAAAACCTTTACACAAATGTAGAAATTTAACATTTAAATTCATGCTCACTACAACTGTGGAGGGGGGGAAAGTGTGTGTTTTTTTTATTCCAATAAGTCCTATTTAGTAGGCATTGAGTATCACTGTATTAGCTTTGTCCTATTACCTACCACCATTATTTAAGTGACCCATGACCGAATCCCATTATAAAGTCTCCCTCATTTAATCAACACTATATTATATAAATAAGATGTATAGAAAGGGAATTATTGTGTTTTATAATATATATGTGACTATAACTATGGATTGTATTTTATAAATGTTTATACAGTTGGACATCATCTTATTCACTCCTCTCCCACTAGTACTATTTAATTCACCCCTTCCCTCTACACCAGTCTCCTCTCTTGTCATGCCATTTATGCGATGTCTTTCTTCTATTTTCCCATGTCCTCCCATCCTTTACCCCTAAAGCTGTGGTCATAAGGTAACACACAGTTAGTATTACCAGGTGGGGAGTATAAGCTCTATTTACAGTTCTAGATCCTCATTGGATGGGTAGGTTCTATCTCTGGTAATCACATGCTCCCTAAATCTGTCAGTCTTATGCTCCTCCATGCCCAAGCAAGTATCTTGTATCCTTCCCCCTTGTGCCAGTCTTCCCTTTACTCTTTTCTCTCTATGCCAGCCTTCCCCGCTGCCAGTCTCTGCTGTCATCCCATCCTGACCCGAAACCCTCTGTACTTGACTACTCTCTACTCCCTTCCATCTATCCCTTTCCTTCCCATGTCTGTTGACCTGTTTTGTGCTATATAAACCATTATTATTATGTTATTATTTATATAGCGCCAACAAATTCCACAGCGCTTTACAGTGGGTGGACGAACAAACATGTAATTGTAACCAGACAAGTTGGACGCACAGGAACAGAGGGGTTGAGGACTCTGCTCAATGAGCTTACATGCTAGAGGGAGTGGGGTAAAGTGACACAAAAGGTAAGGATAGTATTAGACTAATGACAGTTACAAGAGAGAAATCAGTCAGGGGGTATTAACAGTTTATTTTATGCGCTATTATGAAGAAGTGGGTTTTTAATGATTTTTTAAAGGAGTGGAGACTGGGTGAGCATCTAACGGATTAGGGAAGTGAGTTCCACAGGAAGGGTGCAGCCTTCGAGAAGTCTTGAAGGCGAGCATCAGAGGTGGGAGTACGGACAGAAGATAGACATAAGTCTTCAGCAGCCTAGACGGGACATACTTGTGTAATAGGGAGGATAGAGTTATCATACCATAGATTTATCCAAATCCCCCTACATCCTTACTTTTCACCATTAAATCCTTATTAATTATTTCACTATAGGTACTTGCTCCACCCAGTGCTGAAGTTCTAAGTAGACATCCATAAGCAAATACAACATTCCAGATTCTAGGTTAAAGGGGATTACAAGAAAAGCAGACATTGAGTCAGGACTTTTCAGTTTATTTCATATAAAACAAGGAATATGGCTACACAACCTATGAACTTGTCTCTCAGGTGTTAAATGATGATCTATTTACATATTATGGCCACAGAATACTTAGGTTGCTACATGCTTATCTAAGTCTTTTATGTTTTAAACACTGAGGTGGTTATTTCACTGAAACCTGATTAATGCAAAATATATACTGAATTAAAAATAGTTGATTAGATTGTATCCTCTTCAGCTTTGGTCACAGCTGGACAGGGCCAAACTGGGGATACAAGGCAGCCCTGGAAAAAAAATGCCAGCCCCATAAGTCAATGCGCCATAGTTTGTCGCATGTAATATGTAAGGCTATGTCTTGCCACCCCAAATGATTGAGTAATATATATATAAAATATATATTGCTTTTTCTAATATAAAATATTGGTCCTTTCAGAGTAAAATGTATAATTATACAGTAAGCATACTCACATGCAGACAATCTCACTGACACACACAAGCTGATTGATACACAGCCTCATAGACAAACAATCTCACTGATATACATAAGCTCATTGACATAAAAACACAAGCTCACTCATTAGCAGGCACACACACACATACAAGCAAGCCCACTCACTAGCAGGCGCACACACACACAGCCATATGTAGTGGTTCTGGTGTCTATAGCCTGTCCCCGCAGGCTTTTCAATGTAAACACTGACTTTTCAGAGAAAAGGCAGTGTTTACATTGCTTCTTAGTGACACCTCTACTGACAGACGCTCAGACGGTCACTAGAGTTGATTCCTGTGTCAGTGCAGCACCTACATTCAGGGCCTCCACGCTCTGGAGGCGCTGTACATTCCCCATAGAGATACATTGATTCAATGAATCTCTATGAGGAGATGCTGATTGGTGTAATGTTTTGCAGCATTGGATTGGATTGGCTGAGATCATCAAGTTTAATGATCTCAGCCATAGAGGGGAGACCAGCACGGCGTGGGGAAAAAAAGGTGAGTAAAAACACTATTTTTAAAACACACACAGACACACACATACAACGCTGGGGGAGCTGTGCTGGCGGCCTGGTCTCATTAAGTAGCGCGCAAGGGCGGGGGAGCAGAGCAGAGACAGCACAGCTCCCTCTGCGGCCGCCTGCACAGCTCCCTCTGCGGCCGCCAGCACAGCTCCCCCAGCGGCCGCCAGCAGAGACAACCACAGCTGTCTGCCCGGCCCCAGGTGCCGACGGCCCACCGGGAAGTTTCCCGGTATCCTGGAGTATGTGAGCCCAAATTCAGCAATTTAGTTTTTAAGTCACTACACCTAGCTGTGTGGACACGTCCTTGTGCCTCTCCAGAAAGTTATGTGCCTGGGTTAAGGCAACTGAGGCAGGAAGAGATGCTGAACTCACATAATAGGAAAAATATCTATTAATAACCACCTTTCCCTAGAGCAAGTAAGAATGTGATTGTCATAACGGACATCAGTACTATTATAAAATAAACAGTATATATAGATGGTACCTAGTCCAAACTAGACTGGCCAAGATATTTATGACTAATTCCCCACTCTGCTGGAGATGTTTAGCCCAGTAAGGATCTATGACAGGGGTAGGCAACCTACGGCACTAGTGACATGCACGGCACTCGAGGTGCCTTTGCACGGCACTCAAGGCTACAAGAGCCAAACAGACTCTGGCCTGTCAGGAGTCCCAGTGAAACTTCAGATATCTATAATACGAAAAGGTGGTGATGGACAATCCTCAATTTATGCATTGCAGCACGTAGAGGAAGTTATCGGAGATCACTTCCTCCCAGCACTTGGGAATGGGAATCCACACTGGAGTAAAGCAGCACACCGCTTCCTGTTGCAGCTTATGTCCTTGAGCTGTACCTGGCCAGCCTGGTCCCCACTAAAACCCAGGGAAGCCTCCCACACTGCTAGATATACACAGAACTGCAGAATAACCCTCCTCTCATACAAATAATACAAACACACACACAGTCGGCACAAACACAACACCACCAACAATCCACATACATGCACACAACCCCACATGCAGCCTCTCACATGCAATACCCCAAACAGCCCCACACATACACACACTACCAAATACACAATGTGACATATCCATCCACACACACAATTCCACAAGCAGCCCCCATACACAGCCCAAATTCATAGGTATTATACATGATACCACAAACTATTAATGAACATATACAATATAATAGCTCATATACGCACAAATACGATACAAAGCAACTGCAGTATAAATAACACAAGCAGAATATGGCAACATGCACACCTCAATTTAAAGAAATAGGACCGACACGCTACGGGACATCACAATCATATTTCGGCACAGTGCTGCTAAAAGGTTGCCTACCCCCGATCTATGATATATATTTGGTGGAACTGTCCAAGAATAATTACATTCTGGGACTCGATATATATATGTTACTATGTCAGTCTTCAATATAAATCTAAAGAAATCTCCAGAAACTGGTCTGCTCCACCTTAAATGGGGTAAACTCCCCAAAAATCATCAAATATTGATTCTTCACTGTCTTATGTCCGCAAAAATAGTAATAGCAAGATCATGGAAACAAATATCAACTCCAGATTTCACTCAGTATAAAAAACAACTTATATTTCAACTTGAAATGGAGAGGGGTGTTTCATATTCAAATAATAATCTCAACTATATTCACCATTATGACCAGTGGATTAAAAAGATAAAATAAATATTTTAATAACTTGTTTCATTCAGCTAACATGTAAATTCTATATATATTTTCCCTAAATTGAGAAATATACTAAACAATATTATATGTATTTAACTTGTGTATTGTACTGTTTGTGTATAATGTTTGTTTTTAATTGTTGTATGTATGTATGTATAACTGAAAGAAAAAAAACCACAATAAAAACATTTAAAAGTTATAAAATAAACAGTATAATAATGTGATTGTATTTACTTGTATGGTCTAACACAGTGGTTCCCAAACTTTTTAGGTTCAAGGCGCCCTTAAAATTTCATTACTTTTCCAAGGGGTGTGTTTGTATGTAATGTTTGCGTTTGATTGCAGGGGTGTGTCTGAAAATATATATATTTTAAATGCAGATGTACATTTGTATGAAGTATTTGTGTTTGAGTGAAGAGATGTGTTTCACACACACACACACACACATACACATACACACTCAAACTCACACACATACGCACACTCATACTCACACACACTCACACACATACACATACACACACTCATACGCACACACACTCAGACTCACACACACTCATACTCACACACACTCACACTCATACACACACTCACACTCACACATACAAGTGATTTTAAAAAATATCTCCAGCCACCCTTCTGTCAGCTTACCTTATGTGCCAGGAGGGTGGCTTGGAGTCCTGCTGCTGTGGGAGTGAGGGGTCTGGAGCTCTTCGTGCTCATCTCCCCTCATGCTGTGCCTGCCTCCTCTCCCTCCTGCACCGTCTCTCTGCAGGATGCTGGAAGGAAGTAACAGGCTGTCACTTCCTCCCAGCCGTAAGACATCACAGGCACCCAGTCGCGGTCTTAAAAGACCGCGGCACACGACTGGGCCTCTGTTCAGTAGTAATGTTTCCCCGGTGCTATAATCATAGCACCAGGCAAACATTCTGCGGCACAGTTTGGGAACCGCTGGTCTAACCATTTGTTTGTGCTGATTACTATTGTACAATATTGTTTTGGATAAATACAATAAGTGGAAGCTGTACCTGTAGTCATATTATAAGTGAACAACGTGTTATCTAATTTCTCTTATTCAATGAGGTATAATTTGCATTATTAATGCATTTAGCTAGCTGGTTAATACAGAATGTAATAACATCACTCAGACATTCAGATTTATACAATGTAACAACAATCAATAATATATTTGGATTTTTTGCTGATTTTTAACAAGCCAAGCCTAAAGCAGCCCTTTCCCTATATATACCATGCCAATCCTTCTCTTACACAAACTCCCTACAAGTCGATTTGCATTTTATGTATGTGGGTGAAGGTTTGTGTATGTAATACATATCTAATCTATGTGCGTCTATATGAGTAATATATGTTTGTGATGTATCATGCATGTAGGCTTGCAATGCATGTGTCTGTTTATTGATATTGTGTGTGATACGTGTGACGGATTTTTGTGTGATGTTTAATATACATGTTCTATGTGAATATAATAAATTTGTTCTACAGATTGAAGTATGATTTGTGTTCATATGGAGGATGAAGGGTAGGGGAAATTAGATCATATTTGGGTGACTGACAGATGTACAGTGTGTTAATTGGCAAGTCACCAAGGGGTACATAGCAGACACCTAGCACCATGATCAAGATGGGTTACGTAAGATATAATCCAGTGTGAAAAAAATAAATAAACTAATTTCTTAAAAAATAATATCCTGTCAACCCCCATCACTACGGAACCCAAAGGCGCCCAGTTGGCCTAGACGTAATTAATTTCATAATAATATGTATATAAAATGATTAATATGTCTCAAAACATAATTTAGCAAATGAGGTTGTAATTCAAGGTATTGTTTAGTTTGTAGTTGGCATTTCAGCTGGCGCTGTGTTAACTGGATTGAATCTAATGCAAAGCAATAAAGCGACCTATAATTAGAGGCATAACGCGAAATAAAAGTACAGGATACATGTAAGTGGATGAGTAGTGGGTATTATAATTAACATGCATTACTAACAGGGCAATGGTTGTAAGAAAATAATGACTTTGCCGCATGGGCAGCAATGTGTTCCCGGTAAAGGGTTTATTTAGTAGGTCAAAGAAAATACGGTGTGATGCTTAATATATGTAAGAAGTACGTTTCCTACCCTGTGACATCTATGTCAATATACAGATGTTAGCAGGAGAGTTATTTGGAGTTAAAGAGCTAGATTTGGGTTAACAATACCCCAAAATAAATAGAACTGCAGCTCCCACCACACTTATCCAGCAGCACATGATAGGAGTTGGTAGGAGGCACATGATGGGAGTTGGGAGGAGGCACATGATGGTAGTTGGGAGGAGGCACATGATGGGAGTTGGGAGAAGGCACACGATGGGAGTTGGGAGAAGGCACATGATGGGAGTTGCAGTCTATTCAGGGTGACAGACAACACTGGCACTAAATCTAATTAGAATACAGTTCTCACATTACTATGTGCTGGCTTAGTCTCTCCTAATTACTCTCAGTAATTCACACACACACAGCCATACCATGCAAGATATCCCACCTACCCATATACACAAATATGTTGTAACTCTGACACATTTTCACGGGTAATGACGAATGTTTAAGACAAGAAGCAGCTGATTGTATTATATTAAGTCGGTCTCCTGGGAATCTTTTGGTGACAACAGGCCTGCTGTCACTGCTCTTACTGTGCATCACATGCCCCATGTCCTCCAACAAGAGGCCCATCATACAGTCAGCAAGGCACCAAACATGCTCCAGGATGGGTACAGAGGTGGCACGTATCACACTCAACGTCTAACTGACCACCTGGTACCTTGGGGCCATTTGAAAGATCAAATACCTGGCCACACATTCTCCCCTTTTTCTCTTAAAAGTCTCTACAATATTTTGTCATCCTTCCATGTTTTAAAAAAGTTATCCTCAAGTGTACCCTATTTAATAGCATATAATTGCGTTTTGGTTGGAGCTTGGGAGTGGCCCAGGACAATTTATGTGTGAGGAGATTTTACTTTTGGCTCAAGTTACAGTTATATGTGAGAGTTAGCATCGCCCCTGCTTCCCATCGTGTTAGATTCTGTTCTCTAGCCACTTAGTTTTCTCTGTTGCCCATGTCTTAACCCACTCCTTCCCAAACGGTGTCACTTACACCATATCCATTCTTTGGTTATAAGCAGGGCGCATTTACATGTCAGGTGATTGAAGGCACATGATTGCAGGGATCCAAAAAAATGTGTTCACAAATTGGCAGATAAATTGAGTTTAATGTCTTAACGTTGCAGACATGCAGTTGGAATCAAAATTATTCAATCCCCATTGACAATCGGGTTTATTGTCAAAGGTTACAGGCTTTCAGCTGTTTGCAATGAACAAATCAATCAATGAACAAAAGCCAGTGAGATAGCTCAAAATAAAAATGATTCAAATGGTTTCTACAAATTCAGCTGAAACTGAAACTTACAATGACTCCTCCAGTCTCAAAATTATTCAACCCCCTGAACAGAAGCCCTCACAACAGCACAAATATAAAAACCAGGTGTTGTCTCAATCACACCTTAGGCAACTAAGCAACAGCCTCATTAGTTGCACCAAATGATCTTAAGCTGGAACAATTGAAATAAAAAAAATGTATGAAAAAATTGTAGCAGCTCGTGGGCATGAGTTAGTAGATCACACCTACGAGATACTATGTGCGTGTGCACAACACATGTAGGTCATGTGTACGATCTAGTTAACTTGTGCGTATGATTTACTAAATCATGTGCCGGTTCTACAACACATTCGCTGGACAGTTTGATGCCATTGACGCCTGGCTGGTTCAGTTGAGATGTGATAATCAAATGAGGATTTTCATCCGCCTAATACACACAAGTAATGTCTGTTCACATGGCCTGACAATTGGAAAGAAGCCTCATCTGAACAGATGATCTTATCAAGAAGGTCTGTTTCATTAGATGTTTTGTTACGCATTAGACATGTGCAATTTGTTTAGTTCCGAATGTACATTCGGACGAATTTCGTGCAAATCAGACATTCTAATGCTTACGAATCTCCGAAGTGCTTAAGTTCGGTAGTTCGGAAGTGCAGAACAGAATTGCTAACGTTCCGAATTGCAGAAGTTCAGTGCTTCGGCTTTCTAAAAAAAAGTGGCAAAACGAGAGAGAATGGGAAAATTACGTGAATGATGACAGGAATCTTGACCAATAAGCTAATTCCTGGCACTGGGAGCCGTATAGATATGTAAGTGGTTGTGGTGGCAGTCCGGGCACTGGGAGCACTATAGATGTGTAAATGGTTATCTCTGTATGTGTGTGGGGCAATGTGTTTATGGGTGGGCAGTGTGTGTGTGTGTGTGTGTGTGTGAGCAATGTGTGTATG